TAAGGTTTTTCAACAGCATTGTAAAAAGTGCCTTTTAATTTGACTTCTGATTGTTCCTGTTTATATAAATTCAGCTTTTATGTATTGAATAAAACTATTTGATTCCAATGGTTTGATCCTACATTATTTTTAATTTTCTACCTACACAGTCATTTCAGTTGCAAATAATGAGCTTTTTCCTTCCTTTCTATCCTGATAGTTTTTTTTTCTTGCCTTATTGCTCTGGCTAGAACCCCTTGTCCAGCATTGAATACAAATGATGATAGAAGGCTTCCTTTTAAACTTTCACTATTTCTCCATTAAGGTAGGCTGTTTGTTGCAGCTTTTATTATAGAAGCTCTTTGTCACATTAATGGCATTTCCTTCTATTCCTAGTTTGCTAAGAGTTTTTATCAAGGATGAGTTGGGTGATGAATTTTATTAAGTGCTTTTTTGTTTATACTTAGGTAATTATATTTTTTTGTCTATTCTTTTAATGTGAATTGCATTGATGTTTCAATGTGACATCAACCTTGTATTTCTGTAATAGATGCAATTTGGTCATCATGCATTATCCTTTTTATGTATTGATAAATTTGGTTTTTGTAATTTTCTTTAGGATTTTTATAACTGTGTTCATTAGTGAGATTGGCCCATACCTTTCCTCCTAAAAGAAGGAAGTTTTTTTTTTCTTTGTTGTATGGAAGAGTTTGTATATAATTGGTATGATATAGTTTTTGAATATATGAAATATCTAGGAAGCCATTTAGTTTAAAGTTTTCAGCCTTTCTTTTACTACAATATTCTCTGCTAAAGTATGGTTATAGCTGCAACATTTATATTTTGCTGTATTTTATTTTTATAATTTATTTCAAAGTATTTTAATTTCTTTTTGAACATAGGAAATTCTAAACATTACAGAAGTTTTTGTAGTTATTTACATATATTTTTTACTATGATCAGAAAGTATCATTTCAGTCCCTTTGTTTTGTAACAACCAATTAGTATATATATTCCATGCTTGCTTATTAGAAGGAGTATGTTTGCAGTTGTTAATTGATTGCAGTGTATTTGCGAGCGTCGCTGTGGCAATATACGACAATCTGAGTGGCTTAAGCAATAGAAATTTACTCGCCCATAGTTCGGAAGGCTAAAAGCCAGAAATTGAGGTGTTGGCAGGGCTATGTTTTTTGTTAGGCTAATAGAGAATTTCTTTGCCTCTTTTAGCTTCTGTTGTCAGCAGGCCTGAAGTTGTTGGCTTATAGTGTTGGCTTATAGATGGATTTCTCTAGTCACTGCCTCTGTTGTAATGTTGTCTTCTTCCGGCATGTCTGTCTTCACAGGGCAATCTCCTTTCTGTTTTTCTCTGTAGGATACCAATCAGATCAATGACCTAATCTTAACTAATTATATTTGCAGTGACTTTATTTCACATAAGTTCACATTCAGAGGTAAGAGCATTTGGTACTTCACAACATATCTTTTTGGGGCATACAGTTTGGTTAGGTCAGGTTTGTTGATCATATTTAAATTTTATCTCTCATGATTTTTTTTGTCTGCTCATTCTGATACTGAGAAAGGGTGATAAAAACCACCCACTGTGATTATAGATCTATTTTTATTCCTCCTTTGGTTCTGTCAGTTTTTGCTTTATATATTTTGAGATTATATATTAGGTGCATGGAAATCTAGAATTGTTATTTTTTTTGGTGAAATGTACCTTTTGTCATTTTGCTGACATTCCATCTCTATCATGAATTCCTGACTTAAAACAAACTTTACTTTCTCTGATATTAACATAAGCTTATAAGCTGTCTTTTGGTTAAAGTTTGCATATGATGTATATTTCCATTTTGCACCTTTTGCTTTTCCTGTATCTTATCCTTAAGATAACACCAGTATATAGTTAGATTCTGTTGTTGTTTTTGTTGCTGCTGTTTTGTTGAAAGTCTATTCTTTGAGTGTTTGGTCAGCTAGCATTTACTGTACTTATTGCTTTGCTTAGAATCTCTCATCTTGCCATTTGCTTTCTATTCCTTGTTCTGTTGCCCTGTTCTCCTTTCTTACTTTCTTTAGATAGGTGATTACTTGGCCTTTTTTCTCTTCCTTTAGCTATATTAGAGCTGTAGAGTCTTTACTATTATTTTTTTTCTTTAAAGATTTTATTTATTCATTCATGAGAGAGTCAGAGAGAGAGGCAGAGACCTAGGAAGAGGGAGGAGAAGCAAGCTCCAGGCAAAGAGCACAATGTGGGCCTTGATCCTGGGACTCCTGGGACTCTGGGATCACGCCCTGAGCCAAAGGTAGATAGATGCTCAACCGCTGAGCCACCCAGGCATCCCGAGTCTTTACTGTTCTTTTAGGGATTACCCTGTAGACTCCAACTTGCATTCTTAATTTATTGAAACCTAATATTAATTAATGCTTTTATCATTTTCTAGACAGTGCAAGAGCCTTTGTACATTCTAACTTATTTCTTCTTCCAATTTCAATAGTACCTTGGTATTTCCATATGTTTTACCTTTTTTTTTTTTTTTTGAATAAGTAAGCTTCACACTTAGCATGGAGCCCAGTGCGAGGCTCAAACTCATGACCCTGAGATTGAGACCTGAGCTGAGATGTAGAGTCAGACACTTAACTGTGCCACCCAAGTGTCCTGATATTTCCGTGTGTTTTAAATTTATATATTTTAATCCCGACATGCCTAGTTATAATAGTTTTTTAATATACATTTGTATTCATTTACCATTTATATATTTATCATTTCCTTTGCTCTTCATTTCCTATTACATCACCAAGTTTCCACTATGATTATTTCTATATATTCTGCCCAAAGAACATTAATTTGTATTTTCTTTAGTGTGGATCCATGCTTATGACAGATTTCTTTTAGTTTTGTTTTACCTGAATATGTCTTTGAAAGAAATATATATAAAATATATATATATATATTTATGTAATATATAATAATATATAATAAATATATATAAAATATATATATATTTAGGTCACCAGTTATTTTCCTTTAGCCATTTGAAGTTATAATTCCACTCACTGTCTTCTGGTTTACCCTGGTTTCTGTTGAGAAGTCAACTGTCATTTTTTTATTGCTCCTTTGAACATAAACTCTCCTCCCCCCTGCAGGGAGTTTTATTTTATTTTTTTTTTTTTCTGCAGGGAGTTTTAATATTTCTCTGTGATTTTTGGGAATGTCATTAAGATGAACTTACATATGGTTTTCTTGGTTATCTTAATTGAGACTTTCACTGCTTCTAAAATCTGTGAATCAGTGTTACTCAGTTGTTGCAGAAAATTCAGTTATTCTGTTTTAAAATATTGCTTTTGTCTCATTTTTTTCATTTGGTACTCCAATTACACCTGTGTTAGACCTCTACAGGTATCCCATATATTTATTATGTTCTTTTGCATTTTCCATTCTTTTTATGTGTAGTATGTGTATTTTCTTCAAATCTTTTGTTTGGTTCATTAGTTCTTCTTACCCCCCCCCCTTTTTTAAAGCATGTGTCTATCATGCTGATAAAACCATTTATTTGTATTTATTTCTCAGTTCTAGAATTTCTTTTGACTCTTTTTTGATTTATATTTTTTCTTCCAAATATTTAGTCTTTTATTTCCTTGAGCATATTAGGCATAGTTATTTTAATATCTAGTTCTGAAAACTTTTACCTAAATTCCCTGTAGATCAGTTACTGTTGACTATTGTTTCTGTTGGTTTTAGGTCAGATTGTTTTATCTTTGTATGACTGGTTATTTTTGATTGAATGTCACATATGTCTGTGGAAAATAAAGAGTTTGAAAGCTAGCATGCTGCTTTAATGTTTATTAGGGAAGATTTATTTTGCTTCAGAAAAATGGCCAAGGGACTGTCAATCCCAGAGTGCCTTATTAATCCAGGAAGGCACTGGGAAGAGTTGAAGTTAATCTCTTTTAAAGTTGGTCTACTTCTAGTTCAGTTTTATTCAGGTTTGAGACATGCCTTATCACTAGTTTTTCAGCTCTGATTTTGTACTTTTATCCTTAGAAATTCGTCTATCTCTTGTTATCTTCTGTTGGCTGTCAGATACCTCTACAGGATCGGCTAGTCCTTCTAGGGGAAACATACCTCCAAAAGATGTGCAAACCATTTTGGGTTTCCTTCTTATCCAAGATCATGATCCCATAATTCTTCATTGTCTTCCTTGATCCTTCTTGGTGCTCTCTAATAGATACTGTTGCTTGTAATAATTGCTTCCATTTTCTAATTCTCACCAGGAAGATTGATTGAAGTTACCTAATTTCATTATGTAAAAATCAAGAAAATATTGTGACTATTTTTTTCTACTGAGTTATCTTTAAGATGGCTATTTAAAAATCTATAGTTCTGTGTGGATCATCAGACATTTTCATTTGTTCATACTTTTTTGCACAGTATCTTAGGAGAGGGTTGGATATATGTCCCTACCAGAAAGCTTTAAGGGATATAAAGAGATAGCCACTAAAATGTATGGATATCCAGAGTTGTACTGTATATGGTTATATGGAGCTTCAAGTAGATTGTTGAGCTGTCAATAAGCAAAAATTTTTTTAAGCTTAGTATTATTTTGGCCATCTGTCTCTTTTTAAAACAGAAGGAAAGGATGGTGGTAGTTTTCAAATTTGTTTAGATTCTTTGGGCTATCTGCTTATCAGAAATTGGGCAATCTTATTTGTTTTTAAAGTCCTTTATTAGTAGAGTAGTAATTCTTGGAAAAACCAACTAATAAGGACTTAATTGGTATAGAAATACTTTTGATAATGTATTAACTCATACTTTTCATTCAGATATCAAATACTGTTCTCTTTGTTCATCTTTGCAGAGATTCAGAAATGATAATTATTTGTCACGTTTCTTGTGTTCTCTATTTTCCTATTTACTGATCAGAAGGTTTTTAACTAAAGTTATCAAGGATTCCATGCACTTCCAAGATTAGGGATAACACCAATCTAAAGACTCAATTCTTTTCTGTCTTCACTGATTACAGACAGGGAACACAATCTCTTCAGCCTGGACCTATGTAGAAGAATTTGGAGAAAATAAACAGGTAAGAAAAAGTCTTTTGGGAATATTAAGTGATATATTTAGTTTTCAGAAAGCCAGTTATAAATTATCCTTCTTATGGTTATAAGAAGAAATATTTAAAATTGTCTAAAGAAGCTTGTGAAATAATTTGGTTATAAAAGTTTTGTTAATTATAGATTCATTAAGCGAAGTTCAGAAAGTTAAACTGGTTCCCATATTTCAGGTCTTCTCAAGGCTTATGACATACTAATGTATGTTGTGAACCACCAAAGATGGTAAACAGTGTTTTAATGTAGATTATTCAGCATTTCTGAATTTTGAATTCAGATATTTTGAATATTCAGATATTCAAATTTCATTCTGCTGTGAAATTTACCTATTTTTTTGAATTAATACAACTAAAATTATTGTTGATACAATACAAAAATAAAAAGTTATTTACTAGGATTCACTCTTTAGTTTTTCCAACATGATACTGAGAAGATAAGTTTTAGTAGAATGTTAAAGGTAGTTTATAGTTCAAATAAGTATTACCATTTAAACTCCTTTTTACCTGTTGAGGCAAAAAGAATGTTGTGGTTCCCTGGGTAGACTCCATGTTTTAGTTCTTGTTTTTAAATAAGCTGATTTCATCTTTCTGTGCCTCATTTTTCTTGTTAAAGAGGAAAATAATAGTACTTATTTTATAAGGCTTTTGTAAGGATTAAGTAATGCTGATGTTGTATAGTTATTTTTGCACTTTGTAAGTACTCAATAAATATCAATAGAATTCATACTTGAGATACAAGGAGATATATTTTGCTTGAGGCTTATAACTATTGTAGATCTTAACATAAAAACTCAAATATATGATGTTATTGTCAGAAGTACCTTTTCTAACAAGTCTTTATAGTACAAATTTTGAATTATGGGGACTAATTTTACTGATAGAAATGAAACTTGAAAAGAGTTGCTATCTTTCCTAAGACTTTTATCTTCTCTTAACTTTTGCCCAGATAGTTTTTTTTTAGCAAGTTACAATTTTTAAGCCATACTGGATCCTAAATAAACTGTAGTGCTCAGATCATAAGTTTCTCTCTTGTAGGTTGCTTTTCTATTAATCTCTTCCAAATGGTTTAGAAACTGTCATTAAAAGGAATTTGACATAATCTGTTAAACAAAGGTAGCAAATTGGAAGCTCCTGATATGGTTTGCTTTGTCTCTTTGGTTTTTTGAAAGGAATGCACCTAGATTTAATGTCAGTACAAATAGTAGACACCTGTTATACATTTAGTCCTCTTTGAGTTCTTTTTTCGTTTGTTACATCTTAGCTTCTGAGGGCAGTTGAGTTTGTAATCACTGTGTTTAACATAGTTCAAGAATATTTTTGTTTTGTTTTTAATGTTTCCCTATTACATATTAGCCCCCATTAAATGTTCTTCCCAAAGTGATTTGCAAGTTGTTCAGTGAAATAACTGTTCCTAAGGTCAAATAATTGTTCCTAAGGTCAAACAAGTTTGGGAAAAACTGTGTTCTATATACTGCCCTAGCATAATCATAATGCTTATTAGCATATTGAAAAGCATAGTAGTAGTAACCTGTACAAGTGTTAAATCAGTTTTACCAATTTTATTTTTTCAAATTTTTTTTTCTTGGCTAAGGGATTCTTAATGTTTTGAGGTACTTGAATTGTAATAGGTTGGGAAACTCTGAAACTAACTCAAGGAAACACTTGGGTTTTGTTTATAACTTTATTGACAATTGAAATACAATAAAGTGCACATTTAAAGTGTACACTTTGGTCAGTTTGCATTTATGTATACATCTGTGAAATAATATTACAATCAAGAAGACAAACATTTCTGTCACCCCTAATGTAACCTGTTCCTCCTGGAGGACTACCTTCTTTTTCAAGCAACCACTGATCTGATTGCTGTTACTATAGATTAGTTTGTGTTTTCTAGAATTTCATACCTTTGTTTTTGAATGTTTATAATCTTTAAATTAGGATGAAACAGTTGTAATTTCTTAAAAAATATAAGTACAGATACCTGGCAATTATAGGTTTATAAAAATTGTTATATACAAAGTTTCACAATAAGAATTTGAAACTCCCATCACTCTTTCAAAATTATATGGAAAATATATTGTAAATTTAAAAAATACTTCAATTAAAAACAAAAGCAGGTGATTTCTCCCCCCCCCAAAAAAAAACTGAATCTGAAAGATATAATTACTAAAAATAGAGAACTAGCCAACTAGAACTTTCTAGAAAGGAGTTAGAGATAATAACTTTCATTTTTGTCCAGCCACCATTACTAAGATTAACATATTGAAAGCCTCCTAAAAATCATCTTAAAACAGAAAAACTGACTTAAGCTACTCTGTGAGCCTAGTCGTAAGAAAAAACATTGGTCATTTCATGTCTGCTAGACTATATTTGCTGTCAGTTGCCTTCAGCAAAAATTAAGTAGGGGGTAAAAATACTTTTTTTTTTTTTTTGGTCAAAATTTACTTGTAATAGGGAAAGTAAATGAGATTTAAAAAATGCCAGTAAATTTGATCATAACTAAGTGTGCTAGCCAGAAATATCACTTAAAAATTTCTAGTTAGTGATTTGTAAATATGTCATAGGCTATAAGTTAATAATTAGCAAATTTGAAAATTCCTTCCTCTGTTTTACAGTTAGTTATTGATAGTTCTTTACTAGGATGGAAAGTACAAAATAAATGATAAATGTCATTTACATTATACTAGAAATTTTAGAAATCTCTCTTTCAACCCAACCATGTTTTATGTTCTGCATATATACAGTGCTGTGTTAATAAGTGTTAACACTTTTGCAGATGAAGTTCAGTGAAAGAAAGTTACTGAGTTATTTCATTTGTGGCTATTTGAATGTTAGAAATTGAAATAATAATATGGTGAGGTGAGGAAATTTTTTCAAAAAATTTAATAAAGATCCTATAGAAATCTAAGGAAGTACTTAAAATATGAATTAAAGGTGTGGGGAAATGTATTTTATAAATCAAAATATCAGGTGCTTCATTCTCATACTGCCTGGGGGAAGGTAAAACAGTATAGCTGTCTTGGGAAACAGTACAGTTGCCACAAAAAGTTAAACATACAATTCCCTTATGACCCAGCATGTCCATTTTTAGTTATTTACTCCAGAGAATTGAAAGCATATGTCCACATGAAATTTTGTGCATATTATTCCTTAGCAGCATTATTTATAACAGCCAATAGGTGGAAACAACCTAATTGTCCATCGACTGATGAGTGTATAAACAAAATGTGGTATATTCATAGAAGGGATATAAAGAGGAATGGAAAAAAAAAGAGGAATGGAGTTCTGATATATACCACAACATGGATGAACCATGAAAACATATGCTAAAGAGCTAGTTTAAAAAGATGACATAAATTGTATGATTCCACTTATATAAAAAATCCAGGACCGGCATATCAGTAGAAACAGGAAAATTAGTGTTTGTAGGAGCTGGGGGAGAGAAAATGGAGGAGTTACTGCTAATAGGTACAGAGTCTCTGTTTAGGGTGTGAAAATGTTCTGATTAATGGTAATGGTTACACAGCCTTGTGAATCTATTAAAAACCACTGAATTGTACACTTAAAAAGGGTGCATCAAAAAGAGGGAGTGGATGTGAAGGTAGAACTTAGTTAACAAGAAGAAAAAATAGTTAAGGAAAATTATGAGGGAGGGTACTTATTAATGGAAAATTAAAGAGTATGGTCAGAAACAAACTAGAAGAAAAAGATAGCCGAAATAAGTCTAAGAAGACCTTTTCACTGAACTCAGGTTAGAGTCTCCATTAAGGGTTTCCTCCTATTTATATTTATATGAGGCAGAAAAACAGTTTGAGAATCCATGGAGTTTGGTCAAAATGTGTAAGAGAATTAGAAACAAACAAGATACAATTGGAGTAGAGCAATGTATGTTGTCCATTGCTTAGGTTTTCACTGAGAAGCATATTGATGGTATTCATCTCTTGTGTTGGACAGAGAAAGGTAGTAGACCAAATTATTATTTAAAAGGTGGGGCTGATGAGTAGGTGGTGAATGTGCTGCCAGTCTCTGCACTTGCTCCCAGGTCAGTGGCACAACAGTTACAACCTCTTCACTTTCCTGCTCTTTCTAGACACAGCTCCCGAATCCTTCAGAATCTGGGGTCCTTTTAGCCATTACTGCTTGATTAGAATTGCACTTAAGGTTAGCCTATTTGCTATATAGATCAGAGTGTTATTATATGAAAATGTTTGTATTCATTCAAGATATAAATATGAAATTGTAGAGGATTTGACCGAAAATGCTATCTCTAATATTCTATTAGAGCAAGTCACTTTATTTATTTTTTATTATTTTGCAAAAGGACCTTTTATTCAAATGAAATTCTTAGATAACATTTAGCATATACATTGGGAATGCAGAGCAGTATGCCTTGAAATGGGAAGTATGGGGTGGCCAGGTGCAAGTAGCGGCCAGGTAGCTTAGAGCACCTACTCTGTATTTCTGTATTTCTATCCCCTGTTGCTGAAAACCTCTTGAGACCCTTTGCCCAACCCAGCTTTGAGAAGATTGCCAGAGTGAAAAAGCTTGGTCAAGAAGAAACAATACTTTCCTAGGAATTAGGAGGCCCAATTTTTTTTTAATTTTTATTTATTTATGATAGTTACACAGAGAGAGAGAGAGAGAGAGAGAGGCAGAGACACAGGCAGAGGGAGAAACAGGCTCCATGCACTGGGAGCCCGACGTGGGATTCGATCCCGGGTCTCCAGGATCGCGCCCTGGGCCAAAGGCAGGCGCCAAACCTCTGCGCCACCCAGGGATCCCAGGAGGCCCAATTTTTAACTTGTTTTTCTTCATTTAACTGTGGGAGTATACAACAATCAGCCATCTTTTGTCTGTCATTCTTCAGTGAAAGAGGTGATTGGAATTAGAGACTTCTGAGGACCAGCCTATCCCTGGTTTATGATTTTGAGTTAGAGAATTTGATTAGTTAAAAGCTTTATTAATACCAACCATAAATAGTCAAACAAATAAAAATGAGCAAAAGTCTTGAAAACATACTTTACTAAAGAACATGAATGTTCAGATGGGCAGCTAAACACATTAGTCATGAGGGAAATTCAAATTAAAACTGAAATGACATACTATGTCACATCACTGGAATAGTTACAATTCAAAACACTGGCAATACCAAATGTTGGTGAGGATGTGGAACAGCCAGAGCTCTATATTTTCCTGGTGTGAATGCAAAATGGTCACATTGGAGAACCGTTCAGCAATACCTGTCTGCCCTATAACTCACCAGTTTTACTCCTATTTACCCAAAAGAAATGAAACCATATATCCACAAAACTGGCATAAGAATGTTCATAACAGCTTTATTCATAATAGTCAAAATTTAGAAACAACTCAAATATTTATCTGTCAACAGGTAGGTAAATGGATTAAAAAAAGTTATGCTGTATATGTACGACAGGATACTCCTGAACAATTAAAAGGGATAAACTGATGCAACATAATGAATCTTAGAAATTGTATTGAGAGAAGCTAGATTTAAAAGTGCTTTAAAAATACATTTTATATGAAGTCCAAGAACAGACAAATCTAAGCTGTAGTGAGAAGTCAGGAAGTGGTTGCCTCCAACAGAGGAGCTATTGACTGGAAAGGAGCCACAGGAACTTCTGGATTGATGGCTATGTTTTATATCTTGTTCTAGGGGTTGGTTGCCTAGGTTAACAGTTACCAGAACTCATTGAAATGAACACATAGGATGTATGCATTTCACTGTATGTAAATTGTACCTCAGTTTAAAAAGTACACTTGACGGGATGAGCACTGGGTGTTATTCTGTATGTTGGTAAATTGAACACCAATAAAAATTAATTTATAAAAAAAAATAAAAAAAAAGTATTAAGACAATTGAATCATTCTCAGTGTAAAACTTAAAATCTGAAATTGGCTCTATCATTCCCTTAAGAAGGGGAAGGGGGAGTACGGATCCAAGTCTGAGACAGAAACAGTGGTATTGAAGAGTTAAGGATATTCATTGGGGGGAAAAACCAGGGGGGAGGGGCAAGTAAGTACATGCTAGGAATTCTAACTCACTTATTAACTTGTTTCATAAAAATCAGTGATGTCTGTTGATGTTTATTTTCTGTGCTATATATTGTATGTTAGATCTAAGGAAAAGATGATTCATCTAGGTTTATGCCAGTAGTTACTATCTTAAGTTTGATGTGTATTGTATTTTCTAATTACCTAGATTTTTTCTGAATATATTTAGATTATTATGCCATAATAAAATTTATTTTTGAAATGCTTGTAAAATCTTATGAACACTGAAGCTTTTCATTTCCTAATCTTTGTAGCGTTAGGGGGAGATTTTTTTTTTTCTCTTGATTCATCCTGTATGAATGAGGTCATCAAAGTCAGCTTTTAATTTTGTATTTTAATTTAGTTTCCTTAGAAATGTAGGAAAACAGTGGTTGATTAGTGTATTTTTAAATTAAAGCTTTACAGTAGGAAACTATTAAAAATGCCCATTTTCAGACTTAGGTACTATGCCAGTAGTCTGTTGTCTTGCTATCTTCTTTGTAAAATCGTTCCCTGAAGCTATCTCTTTTATCTAGATTTCAAAGAATATGCTGCATTAACTCTTGCATGGATATAAACCCAAAGTTGAAAGTGATTTCTCTGAAAACTGCATTTTCCCCACCTACAGAAGTGTAACTAAAGATCTGCTCTTCTAAATTATATTGTTTATGACCACATTGTTAAAAATTGAAAGAGCTAGTTGTATCATAGATGCATGTCTAATAAGGAATTGATTGTATTTGTGTAATATTCTTTAGGAGGAGAGAATCAAAACTTTGCAAGCAATTAATTTAAATTACAGGAGCACTAAGGTTTCTGTTACGACTAAATACCATACCCTTCAGGCAAAGTGTATCCATAAGAGAAGAAGAAAAATTCTGTGACAACTACTTATCCTACTTTGGATATTAAAAAAGCAAATGGTATCAAAGTAATTTATTCCTTACCCAATTTCAAAATACTGAAAATATTTTGAATTGGAAATTTTAAACGTATTTGTTTTCTTGGAACAGACTGCTTTTATTGGTTTTATGGCACCATTAAAATTAATCAAGTTAGAGTTTTACAGTGCTAGAAATTAAACCTATATTTAACTGATTTTTATTTTTTCCATTTTTTTTTCTTAACTAGGTCCTTACTGATGTTGCTTGAGCTTATTCTCCTGCAGTTGATCTCATTCCTGTTGGCTAAATATTAAGCCCCATGACAACATTAAGTTAATGCTCATATGTTTTAGGCCTCATCTATAATACCAGGAAAATACAGAAAAGACTTGTACATTAGATTACCTAATTCCTTTTCTTTCATTCCCAGAAACACCATGACTTTTATAAATAATCATCTTACAGTTATTGTCAGACCCGTGGCCTATTCTACCCCAAAGAACATAGTTGAGTTTTTGGAAAGTACAGGATTTACAGATTTGGTCTTTAATATTCTTACACACATATAAACATTACAATTAATGAAGCAGGAAATTATTGGTGCATAAGATGAATGTTTAATGTGGAATAACTATTTCAAATATAACTGGTTTTTTAAAAATTTGTTTTTAATTTTTGGATTTTTCTATGCTATAAGTTGATAATGGTTTCTTGAAGTTTATTTTATAAACATGATTCATTTTACTGTTTTATGTACAAGTAGGAACTCTAATGTTAAATTGGTGTATTGAGTTATACAGATGTTTATATTAGTATTTAAATAATGAAATATTGGGCAGTTAGTTTACACCAAATGTTTTTGCAGTCCAGGGGAGAATGTTTCTGCTGATTTGATGCCTAATACAGTTTCAAAAAGGATAAGCAAATATGAATTTGCTGTTTTTTTTTTTTATCTTTTCTTCATGGACTACCCCTTAGCATCAGAACCAAATTTAAAAGGAGGTGCATTGTAGACAAGAGAAATCAGAGGTTCTCTTTTTTCTGTGATCAAAAATACACAAAACAATGAATAGATATACAAGTAAAAGATACCCAAGAATGCATTCTAGTAAGACCTCTGAAGCCGTTGTTGTGTCAGTGAAAGAAACAAGACTGACTGTAATAAAACTATCAGGATTTGCAATTTAGTGAATGCTGAAACACTCTTTACTAGCAAAATAGTATTAGTACGATTTTGAATGTTAGAACATTATGTTAAACTGTGATTATGGTTTTAATGCTTTGTCTCTTTGAATTAAATTTGTATCCATAAAGATGTGCAGCATAATTGTTCATGTATTTATTTACAGACTACACTTTCCGTCGCAGCTCAATAAATAGTCTTTCCCCTGTTAGTGCTACTCCCTCTTCTGGAACTCCCAGCGTGCTTCCTTATACTTCAAGGCCTTATTCTTATCCAAGCTATCCCTTGTCACCAACAATATCAGTTACTAATGGCAGCCATGTTGGACAGCGACTATATATCTCCAATCAGGCCTCATTCTTCTGAAGAAGATACTGTAAACATTGAGTATGGAAGTTTCTTTGTAAAGCATGCAAATTAAAATGTTGTTTTATTTTAGAATCGGGTTTGCACACTTGGTTTTAAAATGATACATACATATTTATTTCAACATAGTAAAAACCAACCATAATTCCGAATAACCGACAGTTGTAGAACTTGTAAAAATGCTAAGTTTAAAAAGTTATTCAGTGGTTTCGTTTGATAAAGATATAGCAAACTACTCCTCTTTTTAAACTTTTGGGATTTTAAATACTTCTAATTCCTGAGTGGACAGTAGAACCCAATAGTTTGTGTTAGATTTTTGCATAATAACTTTGCCAAATAGCATTTCACAAATATTTAAGCACTTGGCAGACAATGGTTATGCTAGATTTGATTACCAAGGATCACTACCTGTATTAGAGATTTTAACAATTATATAACCATAAGCATCTATTATGTAGAAAGAAATGAAGGGCAAAAAGATTAAGATACAAATTTTATGCAGTACTAAAGGAAAAGCACTCTACCATTGTGGTCCTTGAAAATAATTAGAAATATTTTTGTTAATTGTTTGTTATAGAAATAAATTTTAATTTTGCTGTTAATGTATTTCAGGTTTTTATAGTTATGCTTCTTTTGTGTTTTTGATATTCACTGTATAGTTGTTTGAATAATAAGTGTTAACAGTTTTTTAATGTTGAAATCATGTGTTGTTTAATTTTTGTACTTGAATTCAAATTCTTTGACATTAAATACGTGATGCTTCTAATATGCATGTGTTATATTTTTGTTTATTAGTATGTGTAAAAAAATTAGCTGTCACAGTCACCTTGACCTTTTCATAGGTGTCTTCATGGGACCAAAGCAAAGGATGCTGGAAACAGAAAATTGTTAGTTTTGTGAAACATTGTAAACAGAATCCTTCTCAGGGGCTAATAGTAGAAATATTTTGTTGAAGCAGGTGAAATTTCCTTTTTGTTATGAATATTTAGTGAATCTAGGCATTTTGACTGTTTAATGGTTTAGTAATGTACATATATAATGAATTTCTAATGATGGTTTACATAATTGATGATCAGGGACAAAATTTTTTTCACTCTTAGATACCAGATATTAACTTTGTTAACAGCAGCATAGGACATGGAATTTGCGTACATAGGATATGAAATGGTTGCAGATATTTCTTCTGCTGGCTTAAGTTTCTGGCAGAAGTTATATGGAGAGTAAATTACAGTTGACCTTTGAGCAACACAGGTTTGAATTGGGCTTCACTTATGCAAGATTTTTTTATATAGTGTGATAAATGTATGTTCCTTATGATTTTCTTAACATTTTCTCTAGCTTTATTGTAGGAATACATATATAAAATATGTGTTAATAGATTGTTTATATTACTGGTAAGACTTCAGATCAATAGACCGCTAGTAGTTAAGTTTTGAAGAGTCAGAGATTATACCTGGATTTTTGACTGTGTGGGGGTTGTGGGGAAGTTGGTGCCCCTAGCCCCCCATGTTTGTTGTTCAAGGGTCAACTGTAGTCTTTTTTTTTTCCCCTTCTATATGATGCTTATTCCATATAACAGAATGCAGTACTTAACTTTCTGGGTTATTGCCGTAAATCTCATTTAAATGAACATAGATACTATACTTAACCAAAATTAATTTTTTCCTGACATAGATTGCATAGATATTGCAATTTAATTACCGTGACTTACAGGTTCATATCACTCCTTTGGCAAACATATACGGAGTTTTTGTTTTGTTAGTCAGCTACTGTGCTAACCCTTGGGATACAGAGATGACTCAGATTCCAGACCAAAGGAAAACACATTGATATCGCTTTTCATAGAAATGTTTGTAATGGCCCAAATAATCATAATTACAAGTTCCCACATAGCATTTTCAATAAAACACAAACCCACAAACAGTTGAGAGTGCTTACCAGCCACACACACAGTGTATTTGGAGATCCATAGTAACATGATGGAAAATATGTTAGCTTTGGCTATCCTACTGGATCACCACCACCAATTCTTCGAGCTCAAGCTCAGTTTTTTTATTTGGGGTGATATACACCTAATAATGTTAAAAAAAACACCTGGCAAATAGAAGTCACACAACTGGTAGCTGATTTTGAGTATAATTATATAAATCATACACTATTAATTTATTTGTACCAGTGTTTCATCTCTTCTTCCTTCAAGCAGAAATCTAGAAATCAGTACATTCATGTCAAACATGGTCTCTATACGATATTATAGATGGGCAATTAATTTTGTTCATACTGCACATGAAATTTCATTTGGCTTGTGAATGTAGCTGCTAATTACTTGATGCTTTAATTTTTATAGTCTAAGGCCTTTGATTCAAATAAGGGCTTTCCTGGTTAGTTCATCATAAACTATTATTGATAAGCCTCTTAGCTATTTGATATAGCTCATTGGTTGGGGAAACAATTCTAAAGGCAGCCCTTTTCCAGGTTCTCTATGCAACTTTGTGCAAGGGACCATGGCTGAGATGTGGAGTAGATCCTGTTATGTAGCGATGATCTGTTTTGCATAAAAACTGTCGTAAACATCAGAAGGTTATGCAGAAAGCTTAACTTTATTTCTCTAGTTTAATTCTTTTACAGTGTTACAGTGGGAAAGAGTTCTCTATGACTTAAAATCTAGTAGTCATTATAGAAAAGGTTGGCAAGTCCAATTTAAAAAAAATGTGCATGGCAAGAAAGCATATGTCAAAAGACAAATGATAAAGTTGAACAAGAATTGCAAGTTATTTTTACAAATGGCTAATGCTGATCTCTACTAGTGTAAAATATCAATAAAAGACCATCCACTCAAGGGGCACCTGAGTGGCTCAATAGGTTTAGTGTCTGACTCTTGATTTCAACTCAGGTCATGAGCTCAAGGCATGGGGTGTAACCCTCTGTTGAGTCGCACATTCGGTCTGCCTGTCCCTCTCCTTCCAAGCGCTGTCTCTCTTTCAGATAAATAAAAATCTTAAAAAAAAAAATCTACTCGAGAAAAAATGGATAAAATAGGCAGATAACAGAGGCCCTTAAATGTATGAAAAGATGCTTTATCTCAAGTACAAACTAAAAGTTCAAATTTGCAGAAATTCAAAGGTTTGATAAGGCTTTAGTAAGATTTTAAAGAAACCAGCATTCTCCTATATTACCGCTGGAATTATAAATTGATTTATATAAAGAGCAGTTTGGCAGCTATTGTCAAAAATCACTAATATTTCAATCTTTTGACCCTGCAGTCCTCATTCTGGAATATACTTGCATGTGTGTGCAAAATGATCTATTTAAAAAGTGATTCATCGAAACATTTGTAGCCTAAATACCCATCATTAGGGGACTAAAATAATACATTTATTGGTGCATATTAAGAAATACAAAAGAGATACTATTCCTAATATAGAAAGAGATAGTGTTAAGTGGAAAACAGCAAAGGTCAGAAGTATGTGTATAATCTGTATTTTGGATAAAGAGGAAGTAAACATTTGCATGTACTTATCCTTGCATACCAAACAGTGGAAGGCTATACGAAAAACTTAAGTGATTATGAGAAAGCAGATAGGATCACACTTTTAAAGTTCCCCTTATTCCAGACACAGTGTGACTGTTTAATGTATCATCGATCTTCATTTAAAGTAAGAAGACTTATAACTTTTCTCAGAAACAAAATGAAGATCTTTAGTGAATCTAATCTGAACACCAATACATTAGGAACCTAATCGGAACACAAATACATTAGGAAAACTCAAAATACATTAGAGAAACCTAATCTGAACCCAAATACATCAGTGATTAATGACTAACCACAAGTTGGGTTTTGAGTAGGGACCCAGGGAAAAAAATAAACCCAGGTGGTAACCGCAATGCAGCAATGCAAGCAGCTCTGCACTTCACTGCTTTTGACTCAATGGGTCCCGTGTACTTGAAATATTCAGTAGCACTGCTGTCCAGTAGAAATGGTGTAAAGAATATTAAAGTGGGACACCTGGGTGGCTCAGCCTGCTTTTAGTGCCTGCCTTTGGCCCAGGGGTGTGATCCTGAAGTCCCAGGATCCAGTCCCATGTTGGGCTCCCTGCATGGAGCCTGCTTCTCCCTCTGCCTGTGTCTCTGCCTCTCTCTCTCTCATGAATAAATAAGTCTTTTTTTTTTTTTTTTAAGAATACTAAAGTTTTATTCTTGCTATGCTGCTGTCTCTTAATCTCTTGTATCATGGAGGGTTCCTAAAACAGGTTGGCCAAGGGGGAAAAAAATGGGAACCTAGGATTTTAAGGGTAATGTAAGTCACCAAAATCCAAGTCTCTTTAGCCATCCTCTAGAAACTATCCAGAACAATAACGAAAACAAAATCACATTATCCATGCCTTTATAATGAGAGAATAGTATAATTTGCAAGTTAGCTGTAAGTAAAAATAAATTCCAGGAGAATTATTTTTTGAGCTCTTGATGCAACCCTTTATGGAGAGCAAGAGGTGTGTTGAAGGATCTGGAAAACTAGATAGAAAAGAGAACCAGGAGTAGAGGGCCAAAGGATGAGCCAACAGGGAGTCCACCCCAACGGTGAAAATACTAAATACAAAAGTTCTGGTGTTTCCAAGCAGCCTTGGAAAGGTGATGTTGCTGGGACAGGAGGGTTCTTCCTTTGTCATGGGAATAGGTGATACAGTAATCCAGGCCAACATAAAGTCTTAAAAGGTGTTTAGATAAGCTAAGTGTCTCTCTACACTTACACGTTCTTCACAGGGACCTTTTATACCCTGATA